CAGCCCCAATTCCACCCAGATGAATAGATTCAGAATCAAAGCAGTCTTTGTCCTATTGCAGACAACGAGAGCATTCGAGATGTCCAACATATTAAAGCAATTTTATAATTAGACAGTTTTTTGGTTGTCCTTGGGGTACCCCTTTCATTGTTCTTGCAGATCCCCTTTTACTGTGCCTCTTACGCACAAGGCTGCCCATGTTGATTGTGGTTGAGCGGCAGCTGCCCACATCCCTGTGTGCCTCACCGGCCACTTGCACGTTATTTCAGGGGGCCCCTTGCACGTTATTTCAGGCAGAGTAAAACGGAAGATAGCCATGCTTTCACCTAGACATCTCTAGGTAGGCGACTGAAGGCTCAGTTTGCTTCTCATGTACACAAGGGATGCTAAGCCTGTTTTCCAGCATGTGATGCTCCGCATCAATGGATGGAGCGGCCAGCTGTGGACCTACTAGGGGAGGCTGCTCATACCATTCACCCTAGTAGGCATACCATGGTTTTCAACCCCCCAAAAAAAAAGAAAAAAAAAAGAGACGCGCAACCCGAAAGGAGCATCACTTAAGCTGCCTCCACTGGATGAGTTGCGCCTCCACTGGGGTGAGGTCCCACTAGCAAAGAGGATTGGGTTGAACGCCTGAATCTGGCTGCGTTTGTGGACAAGTGCAGAAAATCGAGATTGAACTCCTTTTCTGCATCTCTGCCTAAAACACGCCCAGATTCAGGATCTTAATCCAATCCCCGTTGCTAGTGGGACCATGCTCCTCGATGAGTTGAGAGCATCACCTGCTGGTGGAAACTAACATAACTTGTGTCCTTTTTGTTTTCTGAAAGCAATGGAGTTGTTTTGGTATTGTAAACCTTTGACATATGAATGAATGAGCTCAGAAGGGCAACGGTGAAAAAACGAAGAGGGAAAAAAAGGGAAAGGCAAACTGTCACTCATGGCAGCAGAGACAAAGTTGACATAAGATTGAGTTCACTTAATAATCTTTTTATAGCATCTCCACCAGTTGCTATTTCTCGATCTTCCAATGCTTCAAACCCTTTAAATGAAAAAAAACATAAAAAAGTTATTTGAGGCCGTTGGTCGGTCGCGTTATCTCATTGGAGTATAGCCAAGTGGAAAGGCATCGGTTTTTGATACCGACATGCAAGCTCCTTTTACCATTTCTGATGGGATATAACCAAAGAGTCGTCAAGAAACCTTAGCTCTTCGGTGGATTCTTGAAGGCGCCTTGTGGAGACGACCCGTTCGGGTGGGGTTTCAATCTTTCTTGTTTGATAGTACGTGTGATAAATTGAGAAGCGGCTTGTTTCATTTCACCATTTTTCTATATCTTTGTGACTGTTTTGGGTGGGGAAGCGTTGAAAAACAAACCCCACCAGGGGAAATGTCAAGTGCTTCACGGCAGAATAGTTTTTTTTTTTTCACTTTTTCAATTTTGTTTTGCAAATTGTAATATGAAAAAAAAAAGAGGAAAAGAAACTGTCCACACATCATGTCTGCGAAGAGGGGGACTGAGGGGAAACAAAAAGGATAGAGACCACACTTGCAACTGCACTGCCGCACCTCACGGAACAGATCCTTCTTTTCTTTTCCTTTTTCTTTTTTTTTTTCTTCTTTTTTTCTTTTTTTTGGGGGGGGGAACAGATCCTTCTCCAGGATAGTTGCACCATTTTTTGTTTGTAACTTTTCGTCCCATTGGCCCATTGGGCATGAGAAATAGCCTCAAATAGGTCTTTGGGAAGTTATTCTTGACCATTATGTTATGTGAAACCACTCTCCCTGACTTGGCAGCATTTTTTTTTCATCCCAAAACAATTTTTCGAAGGGGGTCCGGGGCCCAAGTCCCACTAGCAGCGTTGAGCTACCTCAACGCCCGAATCTGGACGTGTTTGTGGAAACGTGCAGTTCTGGAAACTCAACACCATTTCTGCACATCTCCGCAAATGCATCCACACATTCAGGCGTTGAGGTAGCTCAACGCTGCTCGTGGGACTTGGGCCCCCGGTGACTGCCGATCCAAGCCTCCGAACCTTCTTTTCCTTCGAACCCTTCTTTTTCTGGGTCCGATTTCCCCCCCCCCCTGCCCCTGCCGTGTGCCTCACAGGGCCCGTGCGCTCGTCGGCCACACATGCCCAGTCACCCGGAGAATGTGCGCTTGCATGTATGACGGGGACTTTTGACGGAGTTTTGTTACACCAGCAGTGGTAGGCCCAGCCTTTGAAGAAAAATCGGCCACGAAAGACAAGAAATAAAAAACGAGACGATAGAGAACTTCAATGGGTTTTTGTTAAACACCTTTACGATAGAGGCAAAGTTGTCGTCCAGGATCACGATGTCTGCACTCTCCTTCGCCACTTCCGTGCCGGCTATCCCCATGGCAAGGCCAATATCTGCCTGCAAAGCACGCACGGGCAGAAAGACGAAAAGTTCAACAAAAAAGGAGTACAGAAAATTGACAAATTGTACCCCACTGTTATGTACCCGATTGAACTTCCATCCGCAACGAATTCACACGTTCCCATACACGCATGCAATTGCAGAGTAGACTCGAAGGAGGCAAATCCACACAAAAATCGGAGAGAAGATATGCACAGCGGAAGCTCGAAATACACAGAGAATTGAAAAACGAATTTCAATTCAGAATCTGTAATCCCCCGTCCTCCTCCAATCAATCCAAAGTACTTGTTCCAACAATCACAACCGCGTTTACAACAACCCCGAACAACGAAAACAAGTGTTCGACGAAGTCTAGAGGAGTCTTCTTCTTCTTCCTCGCCACCTCATACCCCTGGCTATGGCTGCCGTAGCAGCTGCAACCCCACAGCTGTCACAACGTGGCAAACTGAACTAGCAACCCCAATGATAGTAGCGCCAGCTCAGCGCCCGCATGGAAGTGCAGTGCTGTAAGTTCTGATGAAGAAGGAGACAGCCAATCCAGCACTTCGAAGAAGAAAAAAACGAAGTTCCTCATGAGGAGGAACAGTAGACATGGCTGCCAAGTGGAGAATGGCAGCGCCCAAACCCGACAACGCAGTCCTGTGGAACCTCTTGTGCAGAGCTGCTGAATAGCAGCAGTGCGATCTACAACTTCGTGTCCCAGCCCCAGCTATGGCTGGGCTTCGAGGAAGAAGATGCCCTCGCCCAAAATAACGCAGCAACGCTTCGGCAACGAACGGGCAGAGTTTCCCCAGCCAAAAACAACGAGAAAAGACCCGAACTAGTTTTCCTTCCCGCTACTTCTACCCCCTGCCTACCTACGACGGACTCCAAAGGCAAAACCCAAGACTCATCTGTGTCTACATGGGAACAGGGGAAAAGGGGGACCTAGACCTATGACATGGCAAAAGGAAAAGGCCGAATGGCCTAGGGCTACCAAACAGAGACTACTAGTAACAGACTCAGGGATCAAGCCCCATAGGGCTCAACACTCACAAACAAAACACACAGGTTACAGGTCACGGGATCAAGTCCCGCAGGGCTCAAAACAAACAAACAGCAAGCAAACAGGCAACACAGCAGACAAAGGTTGTGGGATCAAGTCCCGATAACGACGACAGGGACAAAATTAGTATACATCCCGCTTGTAGCACTGCAATTCATTGCACCCCCCTAGTTGCTACTACAGGGCTGTGTCTGCTCTTACCAGCACCACTAGCACACTGGAGGAGGTTGTTTATAAAATAAAAAAAAATTGGACGAGCCGCAACTTTGCTCGCGGCGGAGCGGGTCAAACCGCACATGGTAGGAAGTTACGCAGAAATGGGGAAAAAAAAAAAAGGCCACCCATAGAGGGTGGACGGAAGACTCTGAGAAGAAGTTGAAAGAACAAATTGCACAATGCAGATTAAAAAAAAAAAAAGGGAAAATTTTCGAAATGCCCCTGAAATTTGCTTTTATTTGCGGCGTGGCCCTGTGAAGGCCGACTTACCCTGTTATGCCCCTCGGGCTTCTGAAATTTTCCGCAGGCCTCTGTCAGCATGGGGCGTAACTTTCCAATATGCCCTTACTGGACTGCGTTTCGTCGGTCCGTCCTTGAAATGCCCTCTCGAGGGGCACACATCTTTCTGTGATGCCCTTGCAGCAGGGGCGGCAGGAATTCAAACTCGAAAATGGTAGGTATTTCACGCGCCGCCACGGAAAAATGGTGCAGCAGTCAGTCTTCAAGTTTGCCGCGCCATGGATCACTGCTCCCTCCTCCTCCACCCATGCTCATCGCCCTCCTCCCTCCTCCTCCATCCATGCTCGTCGCTCTCCTCTCTTCTCCTCCAGCCTCCATCCTCTATCCTCGTCCATCGTCGTAGTCCTTGTCCTCCCTACTCCTCTTCCCTCCTCTTCCCTTGTTCTCCCTCCTCCAACTTTCTCCTCGTCAACCCTCCCTCTCCTCCGCCTCCTCGATTGTCGACTCCTAACCATCACCATGGCCGCCTTCTTGTCGTCATCGCCCGTGCACGCGCGCGCGTCTGTATGTGTGTGTGTGTGTTCAGGTCATCTTTTCATTTACTTGTTGGTTGGACAGGTGGTATATGATGACGAATCGAAGGTGTTTGTCACTCGTTTTTCAGTCATTTGGTGTGTTTGTGTGTGTGTGTTCACGTCATCTTTTCGTTTACTTGCTGGTTGGACAGAAGGTGTTTGTCATTCATTTTTTAGTCATTCGGTGTGTGTGTGCGTGTGTGTGTGTGTGTGTGTGTGTGTGTGTGTGTGTGTGTGTGTGTGTGTGTTGTCATCTTTTCGTTTACTTGTTTGTTGGACAGGTGGTATATGATGACGAATCAAATGTCCTCCCTACTCCTCTTCCCTCCTCTTCCCTCGTTCCTTCCTCGTCCGTCATCGTCGTAGTCCTTGTCCTTCCTACTCCGCTTGCCCACTCGTCCCTCCTCTTCCCTCGTATGGGCTGCGAGTGTCAACAACGGCGACAGGGGCTTGCTGGAAAGATGGAAGGTACTGGTAAGGGCATATGGGAAACTTTTCTGATGGTTCTCAACAGGCAGCCGGTAGGGGCATACTGAAAATTTGGTACCGGTACCGGTAAGGACATATGAAACATGGTTGAGGCCCAAACGACGCCGGGGTTTTCTGGAAACATCATTCGTCGTCAGAGGGGCGCGACAAGGTAAGTAGGCCGTCAGAGGGGCACGCCGCAAATAAGCGTAAACTTCAGGGGCATTTCAAAAAAATTCCCATAAGAAATAAAAAAAAAAAAATTCATATCAAAGATGCATCGCGCACACACAGAGTTATGTCTTTCAAACTTGAAAGTCACCAGAACATGATAGTGCATGGAAACGCACACACAAAGACAAAAGTCACACACACACACAAAAAAAAAAAAAAAAAAAAAAAAGCAAAAACGAAAACGAAGAAAATATATCTATATATATCGTCACTATTGTATCAGAGACAGTACGTGAGAGTCAACTAAACTAAGCACACGGTTGAGAGGAGACAAATAAAGTTAATCAACTTAAATGAAATCAGCTGCACAGATCTGCGCGTGCACAAGCAAAAATGGACACTAAAGGAGAACCCGCGAAGTGGCAGGGCAGCGGCGAGTAAGAAAAGATTGAAGACCGCTAGTGGTGAATCACTGAATCCATTGAAATAAATAAATTATAAATACCAGCACGAAGTGCACCACCTACTTGTTGCTGGTGAGCCGTGCTCTGGCAAGACTGTCCGTTTCTTTGTCGTTTGACGAGCGCCAGCTTTAACGATCGCCTTGCCGGTGTGAGTATTCGACGCGGGGAGTTTCTGTATGGACTGTTCTCATGGTAGATCCTCGAGAGGCGCGAAGCGTGCAATAGTCCAGGTAGACTAAACATCGAGGAGTGCGACTTGGGCAACGGAAGCACCTATCTCTGATATAAATAGAAAACCTGGTTTAATTGGATTCCTGACGAAAAGGGGGAATCCTTCCAGAAAAACACATGAACAACTGTTGATGTAGTAAAGAACTTGGACAAGAGATACGATAAACATGACACAAAAAAAACTCGACATCTTTTCTGTAGTAGATCTGGATTTTGTGATCTGAGATGAAATTACGAAATCCTAAATTTTCCGCGCCCATTCACCCAGCTCGAACAGCCTGAGTCAATCAATTCTATATGCAAATACTAAATAGTAAATAGGTCATCTCTCTCTCTCTCTCTCTCTCTCTCTCTCTCTCTCTCTCTCTCTCTCTCTCTCTC